GGGATGTATAGCCTGTGCACTGATGTCGAGCCACAGCTCGAGCCTAAGTGTGGCCATCGTTCGTATGGCTCAGTATAACAGCACCGATACGGACACCACTCGCACCGGCAGTCAGTGCTTCGAAGCACCCGTTAATGGGAACAGTAGTTCAGGTGATGCCGGTGTGAGGGGAGAGTTCGAATGGAGTGAGTCCTTACAGGTTTGTTATTAGAGTTTTAAATGATATGTACATTGACCATGGTCATTTGAACACTAAATTAGTATGTTATAAAACTTTATTGATATTTAGTTGAGTAATAAATTGTGAACCAGTACACTTTAGAAATAATAGAAATAAAAAGGGATAATAGGAACTTATAAGAACTTGATACTACAGGTTCAATAGAGTCTATTGCATTAGACTGATAGTAAAATATTCGTGAAAGGGCGCTTGATATAACAAATCAAATTAACTTTATTATATTGTATAACAATTAGATATTTAAGAATTGTTATAATTTATAATACAATATGATGATATTTTAAAATTTTATTATACCCAGGGCATTATTCTAGGGGCAAATTTTTATATGTATTTAATAACGCCTACCATATCGGGCAGAATCACTGAACGCTTTGGTGCCAAATGGATAACCCTGATCACTATCATGACGTCCGGTGGTATTCTGGCACTTATACCCAGTGCTGCCTATTATAGTGTTAATTTGCTAATAGCATTGCTAGTGATCCAGGTACTAATCTAAATAAATCGTGTTTTTTGAGCAAATAAATTTATGTGAATCTTGATATTCTTGGGTCTCTTCTTGTATTTATCCATAATATAGTCCACATAATTATTAAAGTAATTGGTTCCCGCATTGTTAGCATTACTTGGACTCAGACTATCATCATTTGATTGCTTTAAATAAGTATCAGAATCCTCTGCATTCTTATTCTTGCGGCGATTAAACCACTTTCCAAATTCAAATCCACGTCTGGAGCGAGTGGTCGTTCGCCTGTTAGGCCTTCTCGTAGCCCTTTTGGCCGACCGTTTTGTAGGTCTTCGTGTCGCCCTTTTAGTTGACTTTTTCTTAGGGTTACCTAAATTTGCAAAATTTTTGACGGCATTTGTGACACCGCCTCCTTTGAAGGCCCGGTCCGCGTTGGCCAATACAGTGTTGGTGTTGTCTTTGGATGCCAACACGTTTGTGGTGAACTCGGTCCTTACGTTGCCATACGTCTGATACGTGCACACCATGTATATCTCGAAACGGTTTTTCTTGATGACTTTGACAGACCGGGCGCACCCGACCTCCTTCGTGTCCTTCCACAGTAATTGTGTGAAGTGACCTGTCTCGTACGAAAATACATCTTTCTCAAAGCTATAGTCCTTTATTTCATTATACCTTGTTTGTGTGAATGCAACAAATAAATAAAACTTTTAATGTGAAGTTGCAGATTGGTTTACCAGTTCCTAATTGCATTACCACAGTTGAGTTTGCCAATTTTGCCTAGATAATATATTTATAAATAATAATAATAATAATAATTTTGTTTTGTTAGTAAAATACCATATATGTATAAGTTTTAACATAATTAACTATTTAAAGTATAATGTAAATTGTATGAGAGATATGTAAGTAATTGAAGTGAAAGTCAGACCCAATGCGCGATAAATATTCTCTCCATATTCCGGGTCCAAACCCTTGTGTCCATACGACAGGCCATTGTATTGAGTGATTGTTGCCAACCTTTTCTTTGCGTACTCTATCAACTGAATCAGTAAATCATTCATTTGTTTAATAATTTATATTATATTCATTTGATATTATATTCAAAAATGGTTTCAAATATAATGAGAACCCACTTTATTATTGATAGTGAGAGGACCCGCCTTATGGTCTTTCCTAACACTGTTGTGATATACGAGACATTCCTTATTAAAGGCGGAGTCGGTCTTATCGGGGAAGGAGTCCCGCAAACCCTCCACAGCCATGACTGTCGGGAACAATGTGTCAATGGTTTAGAGATTCATTCAAATAATGAGATTATTTTACTTGTGTATAGAATTGGTGACACGAATAGCAATACACTATTCATTGCATGTGTTATATTGAGCTCATGTTTATAACTATTGAATTAATTTTAAATTATATTTTGCAATCATAAGTACATGTGCTTACTAATTATAATAATTTCAATTAAAACAAAAACAGTCTATGAATTAAAATTTATAACTTGGTAAATAGAATAGTGGTATACTTTCCATTTGGATTCATCAGTGTAAGTTTTGTATAAATTGTGAATACTGTATAGAGTCTATACTATAGATTATTAACTAATAAAACTACATTACTTTATTATAATATGCCATATAAAATATAATTTAATATTAATAATGGAGAAAAATATAAATTAAATGATTTTTAAGTAATATAAATTATATTGAATTTTATTTAAATTTAGGCTAAATAATCATTATAAATATAAAACATAAGTTTTTACATATACAGTAGCAAAAGACATTGAATGCATACAATGCAGTGATTGCCTACCAGTGCCACTGTGCTAGTGGTGGCAGTAGTGGTAAAGGTGTAAGTGCTGTGAGCGAGTGGAGAAGCTTTACTGTAATACACGTATAATACTATATAGTGGTAGGTATATAATCGCTAGTATTAATATGCACTCTCAACGAGTCGTGATCGTATAGTGGTTAGTACCTTGCGTTGTGGCCGCAATAACCCAGGTTCGAATCCTGGTCACGACACAGTTCTTTTTTGCTTTCTATACCTTTTATTTTACTTTTTATTGTATTTTATTAATGCAATTAATCTTATTGTATACCATAAATAAATTGTTATGTATTCTTATAGTTATAAGTAATTATTATGTCATTTGATTAAAAACTTAGTGGTATTCAAATAAAGTTATTATACTGGAGTGTACACTTACAGTAGCATGTATGATGTAAAATGTGTTCAAATGAACCTAATTTATTTTGTTTCATAAATTATCAATGTAGACAAAGTAAATTCGTGAACAAATATAAATCATATTATTCAATATAATTTAAAATGAAATTATTGAACAGTTTTTAATATTTTGCAAATATTATAAAATTAATTGATTAAAACAACTACTGATATACAGTATGCATTAAAAACCTTACAATAAGTAAATTCATAAAAACAAAGTTTATTGATATTATTTAACATCAATTGACAGCATTTGTTATCACAAAATAGTTAAGTTTATGATTTAATTACAGAGTTAACTGTTGGGCACATCTATAAATCTATAAATAAATAAATATATAACGATGACAGTGATAACACTTTTACTGAGCCTGGTCACGTCATGAACTTCACACTTATAAAGCATATATAATAGATAATAAGCACTCACATGAGTGCACTTTACAGACTCCAGACATTTGATTTGCAATTAAAAGTTGTTTTATTTATAATATAAAAGTTTGTATTTCGTGTTCATATACTCGTGGATAGAGTAGTGCCGCGAATGGTGTGAACAATGAGACTATATGTGGGACTCTTGGGATGTATAGCCTGTGCACTGATGTCGAGCCACAGCTCGAGCCTAAGTGTGGCCATCGTTCGTATGGCTCAGTATAACAGCACCGATACGGACACCACTCGCACCGGCAGTCAGTGCTTCGAAGCATCTGTTAATGGAAACAGTAGTTCAGGTGATGCCGGTGTGAGGGGAGAGTTCGAGTGGAGTGAGTCCCTACAGGTTTGTTATTAGAGTTTTAAATGATATGTACATTGACCATGGTCATTTGAACACTAAATTAGTATAAGTTATAAAACTTTAGTGATATTTAGTAGAGTAATAAATTGTGAACCAGTACACTTTAGAAATAATAGAAATAAAAAGAGATACAATAATAGGAACTTGATACTACAGGTGCCCTCTATTCAATAGTCTATTGCATTAGACTGATAGTAAAATATTCGTGAAAGTGCGCTTGATATAAAAATCAAATTAACTTTATATTGGATATTTAAAAATTGTTATAATTTATAATACAATATGATGATATTTTAAAATTCTATTATACCCAGGGCATTATTCTAGGGGCAAATTTTTATATGTATTTAATAACGCCTACCATATCGGGCAGAATCACTGAACGCTTTGGTGCCAAATGGATAACCCTGATCACTATTATGACCTCCGGTGGTATTCTGGCACTTATACCCAGTGCTGCCTATTATAGTGTTAATTTGCTAATAGCATTGCTAGTGATCCAGGTACTAATCTAAATAAATCGTGTTTTTTGAGCAAATAAATTTATGTGAAAAGTCAACCAGGGTCTATTTCACGGATGTGTATTCGCGTCATTATTCTCACTGTACGCCCACTGGTTTACGGCAATTGAGCGCACGTACGCCATATCGGGCATAGCAGCTGGGTCCAATTTTGGTAATTTAATCACATTCTTTGGCGCCGGTTATCTGGCTGAAAATGGTTTCTCAGGGGGCTGGCCATCCATATTCTACGTGGTCTGTATGGCACACATACCGTGGGGTATACTATGGGTGCTCTGTGTCGAGAATACTCCGCACGACAGCCACCGGTCAGGTCTTATCAAGTGCTCCGACAATGAACTCAAATATATTAAACAAAACATCAATTCGTTTGGAGCGCCAAAAGTTAGTCACAAATAATTTGGTTTCATAAATGCTTTTATTTAATGAGAGGTTCGTATTTAAAATGCAAATTAGAGATCATCGACAGCTCCGTGGCTCAAGATTATTACCTCAAAGTGTGTCTGGTCATCCATTATATGGAAAATATCAGCAGGGTGGGGCTATTATTTACTGCTATCTAAAATGCCATCATATTTAGACAAGGTTCTTTATTATTAATATTGGTTTAAGGTTGTTTAAATAGTTTGCTTAAATTAAAATTCTATTTGTTAAGGTGTTTGGTATACCAATCATTCAAAATGGTTTATTCAACGCAATGACATCCCTGGCCACTGGCTTAACGATGGCATTATGCGGTCCCCTCTCGGCGTACATAATACGCAAATCTGCGCCAAAATTGTCCAAAACAATGGTCAGGAAAATATTTGGTACGATAGCACTGATGGGACCGGCAGTATGTCTGGCGCTGATCACAGCCGTGGGCTGTAACTCGACGGCAGTCATCGCACTACTCATAACCGCCCTATTCTTCTACGGCTTTATGACTGGCGGCGAGTTCTCCATCATCAGTGAGTTCGCGCCCGACTTCTCGGGAACGGTATTCGGGATTGTGGCCACACTTTCCGTATTTCCAGCATTTCTGGCCCCCTATGTGGTGGGCATTATAGTCGATGATAGGGTCAGTAGATTTTAGTATTCATTAAATGTTTGTGTAGTTTTGTAGAGTTTATAACCGTAATTATTTTTATGATGTTTTAATAGCCGTACGATACGAGTCGCTGGAATGTTGTGTTTTACATAACTATCGCAATCTATATATTGGGAACTGTAGTCTTTGTTGTGTTCGCATCGGCCGAACCCCAGCCCTGGGGTCTCATCAAGAAAGACAAACACCCGTCAAATGAAAATATATTTCAAAGTAATGATAACGAAAAACGTCGAAATACTATTAAAGAGGCAGCCAGTCAAATTTGTGAATCAATTGATAAATAACTTTAGTTTTTATAATAGTTTTTATGAATATTTTTTGTAAATTTTCTAAATTGTATACAATACAATGTTTTTCATATAATATATAACTTTAAGTTATATTATAAACTAATTATCAATTTGATGAGACATATGGTGAGCAATAGCCTAAAGTATTCATCTGTTTAACGGCCACTGATAGGAAGGCTTGCGATAAAACCAATACTAACTGGACATCCAAGTGCTCGTCGTAAGCATACCGTCTCAACTGTCGCCTACCGTTCTCTGTTTCCACGTATGGCTGGAATCGAGGTATGGGTCGACACCTCTTATTACAATCGCCCACCTCTTCAAAGCTATGCGAAAAGGCGTCAAAATTTTTAGACAAAAACTTTGGGAAGTATTGAAGTTTCAGTGCATAAGGCATTCGCTTGACGGCCAACGGGACCACCGTTTCGTTACGTATCTTCTGATTGATAGCAATGATTATTTGGTCGGGAATGGAACACATGTCCCCATAGCCCAGTTGGTAGGCCTCCACCACAGGTGTTCTGTAGTATATGAACTTTTCAGTGCTCAGGTTACCCGAGTAGATAGAGCCGGTAGTCTGGTCTATTGAGGGGGCGATGCCATAATCTGCGGGTGTTATATGCTGTGGGTTCTGTAGTTGTAGTTTTGCCATCATTATGTTCATCTGATAGTTGTGCCACAAATAGAACTGGATACTATTTTTATATAAAGAGTTAAAGACTGTTTAAATATATAGGGAATTGTGTGTTAATACAGACTCGAAGGGCGCCGTATCGACACTCATGTGACCCCTATATCCGCCAAAAGCCAAATGTGTGTTGAAATGCAGTCCCGATTGATAAAAGTTGGCCAGGGCAAAGTTTATGCTTATTTGTAGCCAAAGTGTGTTCAACTCTAAGCCGTCGATTGGAGGTATGGATCCGTCGGACCTCCACTGCCGTCTCACACATTCAGTGGCGTTCAGATTCTCATAGAGGGGTCCGTCAGTCACACAAAAAGCGTTGTAATGAATGCCATTTCGTCCTAAATATCGCCAAACCATCGATTTCTCGGGACTACTGGCATCTATCTGGGCGTTCTGTATAATAGGGAAAGGGATGTAAATTTGTATAACATTAATGTGTAGCTAGCAACTTTTAGAAAATTATTTATAACTCACATAATAAGGTATAGTGATATCACGGCTGAGTTTTCTCATTTGTTTTTCGAGTTCGTTGACAAACCACCGGTGCCAGGGACCTAACTGTGCCGTCTTATGCACTTCAGCCCAATAGCGAGAGTGGATGTCCGCGAATCGGGACATTACTCCCCTCTTATATAATAGTCGGATAACACGAATAAATTCTTGTCTCTCCTTTTCTGACATACATTTGAAATCTTTCCTAACGTATAGTCGTGGACAGGGATCTCTAATAGGCTTTATCGATGCTTTTTGCATGAAGTCCTGCAGCCATACCCGGGCATTTTCAAGTTCCTTATCACTAAACTCACTCTGGTGATTGCATCGTTCAAATATGTTTCGCTCGCATTCATCTATTAATTAGTTTATTAATAAAATTGTAAAATAATTTGGTTTTTATAAATATGTATTTTTGTAATTTAAGATAATTTTTTACCTGAATATTGAGTTGAAATTAATACAATTTGTAAAATTATTAACAAAAGTATAATAAAGCAATTGAGTAAAAACATTATTTTGTAAAATTGTCATTAATTTATTGATTATTATTTGTTTGTTTAAAAATATAAAGTATGATATCCCCAAAAATGGGAACAAATATGTTGTTAATAATAAGATTCGCACCGTTACTGTAGTCCCAACTGTTAAAATCACGGCATTAGTATTGTTATATGCAAATATAAAATTAATGACATGTTTTTAATATACAAGCATTTTTATTTAATTCATTAATCATTTTGGTGTATTAAATTCTGCATGGTAATTAACAGAAAATTTATTATACAAGCAATTATTGTTTGTATCATACAGTATTACTAAACATTATAATCTAGATTAATTTTATTTAGAAATATTTATGACGTAAAAATCAAGATATCTTTTAAAGAAACATAAGGTAAAGCAATAGAAAAGTTCATTGAACTATTTAATAAAGTTGGCAACTATTTATATTAATGTGTTTTAAATTATCTAGCATAATTATTTTTAAAAACAAAATTTACTAATGTCTAATTTTATATTTGTATTTTTATTTATAATAAAATTTTATGTGATTAATGGTATATTTAAATAATATTAATATTTAAATTTATAGCAAATGAGTGCTTTTATGAATCAATATTTTAAATTTAATTATTTTAAATAAACAGTTATTTTAATTATATGTATACTTAATAATAGGACAGACGGCCAACCAATGCGCTCAAAATATTCACACGGGATGTACGGCCCCATACTTGCCGACACCGGCAGAGGTGGACAGAGCCCGCACTTACATCCAGAACAAGTTCATGACAGAGTCGGCCATAACTCCAACACTACCCGCCTGTCCAAAGCTATATGTTCGGCGAAACTTCAAGTGTATGACCCATAGCGAGCGGATGCGACTGATTAATGTCCTGCAAATACTGTACGCCAATGGGTTCATGTGGGACCTTGCTCAGATACACGCCAAGTGCTGGACTATATGGCATAAGTCGGTAGAGGGTCCCACTGCTCACCGATGGCTTATGAATAAATTGGAACTCGAAATGTTGAAAATAGACCCTGGTGTTACACTTCCGTATTGGGTAATGCTATTTCAATTTTAATGATTATATTTTTTTCATTAGACATTTATTTTTAGATTGTGTCCGAAGACTGTGTTAATCCTCAGGAGTCCCTAATTTGGAGATACTTCGGCACGAGTGGCACGAATGCTACCAATTATTGTATACCTGACGGTCCGTTCACCGCCCAGACCACCAACCGCTGCATTAAGCGTCAGTGGCCTACGGATGGGGTCATAAAGCCATGGACGTGCCCTGAGTTGGAACAGTTTTACCTCAATCTGGGCACAAATCTCATTATTGTCTTCTTCTTCACATTGGGTCAGCACTTCCACCAACACTTAAATATGGGCGGTTGGCACGGGCACTATAGTGAGGCATATGCACCATATGAGTATGTATTAGTTAGAGTGAGTGGGAAGAGAGAGAGAGAAAGAGAGAG